GTGTGTGTGTGTGTGTGTGTGTGTGTGTGTGTGTGTGTGTGTGTGTGGAGACGTGGTCTTGTCATGTTGCCCAGGCTGGTCTTGAACTCCTGGGCTTAAGCGATCCTCCTGCCTCAGCTTCCCAAAGTGCTGGGATTATAGGCCTGAGCCACCACCATGGCTGGCTTGAAGATTTTTTAAAAACTTGCCAGCTTAGATTTTATAAAAATATGATGAAGGGGTGATTTGGGTGTCCCAAGAGTGTTGGGACGGTGGTTCTGAGAAGCAAGGGCTGATGTTCTGTACTTGATCGGCTCTGCGGCAAGCCAGAGGCCCCTGTGATGAGCATGCCTGCAGACGCTGGTGGGCGCTTTGCCGTGTGCCAGGGGTTGGTGGCGTCAGCGTCAGTATCTCTCATTGTGAACATTCTTGTCTAAGATTTGAAATCAGTTTTTCATGATGAGAGTAATATGTACTCAGTGTAGAAAAAGTTAGCACAGGCAGTGCAAAGCTAAAGGATAATGCCTCATGATCCGTCGCCCAGAGCCCCACACGTGACCACTGTAATGTGGTTATGTTATGTTATGGCCTCCCAGAAATTTCCTGTACCGCTGAAATTTAACATCTGGGTATATGGGTGTGATGTGGTATCTCACTGTGGTTTTGATTTGCATTTCGCTGGTGACTAATGGTGTTGAACTTTTTTTTTTTTTTTTTTTTTTAATAATCAGCCATTTGTGTATCTTAGGAGAAATGCCTGTTCAAATCTTTTGATGACTGTTTTTAAATTGTGTCTTTTTATTGTTGAGTGGTTGGAATTCTTTATGGATTCTGATACTAGATGCTTACACTTAGAATATGATTTGCAAATATATTCTTTTATTCTGCGGTGTGTCCGTTAATGTTCTTGATACTGTTCTTTGAGATACTAAAGTTTTTAATTTTAATGAAATCGAATTTACCTGTTTTCGTCTTTGGTTATTTGGACTTTTGGTGTCGTATTTAAGAAATCACTGCCTAATACAAGGTCATGAGGATATGCTCCTTATGTTTTCTTCTAAGAGTTTTCTGACTGTTTCTCCCCATTCCCCCCTCCCCTCCCTTCTTCCCTCCCCCTTACTCCCTCTCCCATCCTGTCCCCTCCCTTCCCCTCCCCTCCCCTCCGCCTTTCAATTGTATGGCTGTGCCATTATTTCTTCAACCAGGCTTCTGTTAAGAACTATTTGGTCTGTTTCCCCCTTTTCTCAGTTATGAGTGGTATTGCCAAGATTGCCTTAAGTGTATGTCGAGAAGCATTTTTAAGTTTGAGTTAGCCCGCTTTCTCCCTCCTACTGTGGTAGACAGGAAAATGGCCCTGAGATGCCCGTGCCGTAATCCCCAGAACTGTTACCCACATGGCAAAAGGGACTTTATGGATGTTACTAAGAACTTTGAGATGAATGATCTTGTGGGCTCCACGTAATTATGAAACTTCTTAAAAGTAGAAGAGGGAAGTGAAAGAGGAGAGTCAGGGAGGGAGACTTGATTGTGGAAAGAGGGTGAGAGAGTTGCAGTGCTGTTGGCTTTGATGATGGAGGAAGGTTGCCAGCCAAAGAATGTGAAATTTTGGAAAAGATGAGGACACAGATGTTCCCTTGGAGCCTCGTGAAAGGCCCACAGCCCTGCTCACACCTGAACAAGCCTGGTGAGACTCACATTGGACTTGTGACCCCCAGAACTGTCAGACATTGAAATCACGTCGTTCTAAGCCACTCAGTCAAGTGGTCATGGCAGCAGAAGGACATGATTACACCTCACCTTTCCAGCCTTCGAAACTTCGCTAGGCCAAGCGATGCTTCGGGAAACCTCAGGTCACGGCCAGATGCTCCACCCTCTGTCAGCTTCTCATGTGTCCTTGAAAAGTCATAAAAAATGTTGACCAGAATATTAGCGCAGACAAGCCACATGGGAGTGTTCCTTTGGAGTGCCACTGCCTGGTTGTTTGGGTCGTGCACAGAACGTTGGTGGCAGGAGACGGTGGCTCCTGCAGGGGAGAGAGGGGAACCAGGTCTCCCAGGACCGGTGCTGGGTGCAGCCCTGCCTAGGGTCTCTGTTTAGCCTTCTGTGTTGTGTCGGCTTCCATAGCCTCACTGCTTCCTCACCTGTGCTCTTTATGTGAACACAGTATTTCTGCTTCATTGTCAGAGAGGGAGGAAGGCTTCAATGAGCTGTCCAGGGACCTCCTCGCTGTTTCTAATGTTATTTCCTTGGGGAAGAGTATCCCCAATTTTAAACTGCCGACACACAAATGACCTTTAGGAAACCCTATAGGTCAGGGGCTGCTGGGGTCTGTGGGGGAGGAGCAGGAGGGTTTCCTAAGCTCTGCCACTGATTTAGGGAGTGAGGTTGGGAGGAGTTTCCTGACATGGTAGAATTTTTCTTAATTCCTAGTCATTGAATCAGGTGTGTACCTATTCATACTTACACCCTTTATCTCCGGCTTCCTCTGGCTTCTGGCCTGGAGGGATGCTGGGAGAGGGGTGGGCTGGAGGGTTGGGGATGGGCGTGCCTGGCTTCCTTCTCAGGCTTAGGGCTAACGGTGGACAGTCACAGCCGCAGGCAGGTATTCTTGAGACTCATTGCTGTCTGCCTAGCTGGGAAGGATGTTGAGAGGATTACAACGCTAATTCAGTATTTGGAAAAAGTATCTGTAAACTTAAATAGAGATCCATTACATACCTTTTGTGGATTAGAACTGTAATTGACTTAGTGTTTAAGGCAGAAACTAAGGCCTTTGATTTAAAAACTGTTGACAGACCAGAGCCTAAGCTGCTTCTGTTTGCAGAGGAAAGCCGTGACTTCCAGTCAAGTTGAAACATAGCTCCCTTTATACCCTTCCCAGTTTGGCTTCTGTCATATTTTACAAAATTCAAGGCTTTTAATTTAACTTAGATTTATGACTCTTCCATGGACTGTCTTCAGGTTTTTCTCCAAAGAAAACCAGCTCATATCTTGACATTGTCAAAACAGCAATGAAACACACATCTTACCAAATGATGGCAAAATATTTGAGCTGAGAGATTGGGGTATGTGTAGTAGTATACTTTTGCAAGTAAAAGATTATGTCAAGCAGTCTTCTAAAGGAAACCAGGTTTTAGTTAACTGTTAAGGCTGTTCACCATGATTTAAAGCAATTCCTTTATTCCTCTTTTGTAATACGTGTGATTGAAACTGTACCTTCATTTTCTCATGCCTTGATGAGCAGTGCAGTCAAATCACAACATATTATGACTGCAATCAACAGATTATAGCATGTAATTATACTTTTTGCCTCTGTGGCGTGAGGAGTGGAGGGGCATCTCTTTTTGCACCACTTGGCACTCACTGTGGGGAAGGATGGTTCCCCGAAGCCCCCTCCCTCTTGTGTGTTTTGGGGTGGAGCGCCCTGTTCCTGAACAGCATGGATTGCACGTGCTTCTGAGTGCGGTGTGTGAGAGACCACTTTCCCTTCCTGCAGTTAACTCGCCAAGGTGCCTCCCCAGCCCCAGCAGTCCGGCTTCTCTTTGTCCTGCTGCCCGGTGCTTTCTGGTGGCCTGGCAGACTCAGCGCTGTCTTTTGAGTCCTTCGCAAAACCCTCCTCCGCATGCCTTCTTTTGTGAAAATCCTCAGTCCTCTTTAAGAGCAGGGCATCTGGAGCCAGACTGCTCTGGTTCAGCCCCGGCTTCGGTCCTTTGCAGCTGGGCAACCTTAGGCGAGACACCAAGCCTCTGTGTTTTTATCTTTAACATGGGGATGCTGGCTGGTGTCGTGGCTCATGCCTGTAATCCCAGAACTTTGGGAGGCTGAGGTGGGAGGATTGATTGAGCCCAGGAGGTCAAGACCAGCCCGGACAACATAAGGAGACCTCTGTCTCTGTAAAAAAAACTAGCCTGGCATGGAGACTGTAATCCCAGCTACTCTGGAGGCTGAGGCGGGAGAATCCTTCGAGCCCAGGAGGTCAAGGTTTCTGTGAGCTGCAAGCGTGCCAGTGCACACCAGCCTGGGGAACAGAACAAGGTCGTATTTCAAAAAAATAAAGTATAAAGTAAGTACAGTCACTTTCTTTACTTTTACTTTTTCCACTTTCACCCCATTCACATATAGTTGAGGGCTTGCTTGCCTTGAGTCTGACACAGGGCCGGGTGTGAGCCTAGACCACCCCCCCACGGCCAGGTGTGAGCCTGAACCAGCACCCACGGCCAGGTGTGAGCCAGGATCATCCTCCCAGGGCCAGGTGTGAGCCAGGATCATCCTCCCAGGGCCAGGTGTGAGCCAGGATCATCCTCTCAGGGCCAGGTGTGAGCCAGGATCATCCTC